TTCCCTTCTGTATCATTCAGTGTTAGAACACATTCAAAGGAGTTTGGAAATGTTAAGGAAAATAGAAAATATTTCCAGTAGGAGAAGTTTTTGAAGACTGAAATGTAGAAAATGATCCCTTGGAGGGGGAACCTCAGTTCTGTCATCTCCTGCGGATTCATTTTGCTTTTCCACTTGAAATGCAGAGTATTGCTGGACATCTAAAGACTTTGCAGGCCACAGCCCAATCCCATAAGTACATTTCTGTGTCGCAAAAATAGGTCTAAATGCAGAGAAAAGCCTTGTCTGATGTTTGGAGGCTTTTCAACTACATTGGTCCCTTCCAACCCAAACCACTTCACGATTCAATAAAGTTTATTCCCCGACAGTCATAATTTCTTTACACTTAAAAAAAGGTCTCTGCCAATACATTCAACTAAAATAATCCCAGGATATGTCAAAATCATTCAGGAAGTGACTCCTCGTTGAGCACTGCCAGTCTCCTGTCTTCAGCAGAGCATAACCAGCAGATCCCACATTTTGTGGTTTTTTCACATGAGTCCAATGCCCTTCCCACCAAATGTTCACCAGATAGTGAGCTGTGAAATCAAAACTTTCCCTTTTATTTCAGCCTAATGAAGGTTTTCAGCTTCTGGATTCCTCTCAGGGAAGTAATCTGGTGTGAAGCAATTGTTGAAATACTTACAACATTTTATAGTTTTTCATTTTGTTGTTGTGTTTTGCAGCCATTTTTGAATAATTGCAACAAGCTCAGAAAAATTATGTTCCCTCTGACAACATCTTTCACAAACGTCTTTCCTCTCTTGTCCGGCCTGTTGGATTCTGGCTGGCTTTTTTAGCCAATGGCTTCCTTGACTTTGATTCCTTGAAGCTTATCCTGTACTAATCCCTTGGAAATCTGTATGGTTGTTCCAGAAGGTGCCTCAGTCATCAATCAGGCTTCAGGGCAGGTGAAGAAGCAGTCAGATTGTGTGGTCTCCATGGAAGATGGAAAGCTGTTCTTAAAATCTGCTTGTGGTGATGGGCAATTGTCCTAGTTTAGGGCAAAGTTGGGAGAAAAACTCCAAATGGGGGTTCCCCCAGGAAAACAAAATTCAAACAACCCCCTCCCCCCAACTGGTCTGGGGAAAAAATTTCCTTGGAGAGAAGTGGAAAAAGCTGTTTATTTAACAGAAATTGAATTATATTAAACAATAAAACCTCTCACTGTTTGACAGGATGAAAAATCCAGGAAGAAAACTCCTTTTCGTGTGGTATAGCTCGGACCACTCAGGTTCTTTATCAGTCCCTCTGGCGCTGGATAGTGCTGACGCCCAGGCCTCGGTGGGCCACAGACGTGAGCTCCTGGGGTTTGTCTGGATGTTTTTCAGTCCAAAGCAGGTTTGCACAGATCCAGGAAAAAGAAGAAAAAAGGGTCCAGGGAACCTCTTCTGCCTCAGCTAGCTAAAACTAACTAAAAGCCAGAGAGAAGCTCTGTCCCGCTGTCTGTCCGTGCTGCAGACACCACAGTCCAGGAGCAGGATGTGTGGGAGTGATGTTTTTCCTTAACACACTGCGCGCTTCTTCTTCCCCCTCTCTTGCTCTCAAAGCCAGTCTTAAAGGTGCAGAACTTAATATATAACATAAACCAGGCGATTGGGGATACCAGTATCATAAAGTCACCCCAGGACAGAATTTCCCATCAGTATTTTTGTTTTTTAATTAGCCAGGAAAAATATCCCTGATGATAGTGCTGGGTATCCTTTAATCCTTTCCAGTGGCTTGTGCACAAAGGACGGAAGGGCAGACCCAGAGCAGAGCCCATCCCCTGGACTGGCCCTGTTGAGGGACCTCGAGGGCTGGGTCCAGTTCTGAGCCCTGAGAGCCCAGAGAGCCCTGGAGGGGCTGGAGCGTGTCCAGGGCAGGGAACGGAGCTGGGGAAGGGGCTGGAGCCCCAGGAGCGGCTGAGGGAGCTGGGAAAGGGGCTCAGCCTGGAGCAAAGGAGGCTCAGGGGAACCTTCTGGCTCTGCACAACTCCCTGACAGGAGGGGACAGCCAGGGCGGGTCGGGCTCTGCTGCCAGGGAACAGGGACAGGACAAGGGGAAACGGCCTCAAGCTGTGCCAGGGGAGGCTCAGGTTGGACACCAGGAGGAATTTCTCCATGGCAAGGGAGCTCAGGCCTTGGCAGGGGCTGCCCAGGGAGGTTTGGAGTCCCCATGCCTGGAGGTGTCCAGGGAAGGGCTGGATGTGGCACTCAGTGCTCTGGGCTGGGGACAGGGTGGGGATGAGGCACAGCTTGGACTCCATGGGCTGGGAGGGATTTTGCAGCCTCAGTGATCCTGGGATTGAGTTTTCACTTGTGTGAAAAAAAATTGTAAAGCAGATATTCTGTTAACTTATGTATCAGTGAGTTACAAATAACTCCAGACTGGTTTGCTTTAGTGCTGCCATTTATGGAAAAACTGGTGATGCAGACGCATCAGATTTATCATTAGGAGGTTCCCTCCCTGGCATTTTAGCCAGGATGTAAGGAAAAATTTATAGATATCTAAGGGGGAAAGGAAAGGGCCTCTGAAATATCAGAGACTTCATAAACTAGAAAAATAAGACTTTAAGGATGGCTATGAAAAGGCTGATTTGCAAACTGCTGTCTCTCAGAGAGACCATATGGGTGCCACATGAGGTAAATCTGAGGAAAATTCAGCCCATTTTTAAGAAGAAAAGAATCCCTGGATCAAACCAAAGCAAACAAAAGTGCTTTGTGAAACCAAGCTGAGAGTGAAGCAGAGCAGAGTCCAACGAGATAGAGAATCAAAGCAGTGAGGTCAGTGAAGTCATGGTGGTTGACTACAGATTATGAAATTCATCATCACAGATTTTAAATTGCTGAGATATTTTTATAATGAGTTTGGATTACCAACCCTTCTTTGCATCATCATTGAGGCACACTAACTAGGACAATGCACCAAGTGGTGGATTTTATAGATTTGACAGGACTTGTTGAGTAGACATCAACGCTTGGCAGTGTCACAGGGTTGGAAATGAGCTGGGTTTTCCTGGTGAAATCCTCTTTATGTTAAAAGCAGTGCTTGTCCCTCAGAAGGTGCCAGGCCAAGCTACTGGAGCAGAGTAGAACTGTACAGATGTTATTGGACAGGAAATTGTGCCAAGAGCCATAAAACACCTGGGTAAAAATGATGTTTCTCATGTGGCTAAAAAGTTGTTGCTCCTTGAACTTGAAACCATTCTTTAGTGCAAAGTTTGGCAGTTTTATTCCCAAGTATTTGGCAGTTTTCTTCCTGTCATCTCTATTGTGTAAGGAAAAAAGTAGCTTCAAAATAAATGAGTGAAAAGACCTTACTGTGGTGTTTTCCCCCATAGGACTGCAAGCCAGCTTGCGGGGGTTAAGATCAATGATTATTTTACTGTTATAGCAAAAAAGCATCAGCCCCTCTTGGGGCCATTCCTCTTGGATGAATATTTTTATATGGAGTCACTATTATAAAGTAAAGGTGTAAAGAAACTTCATGCTACCCTTTGGAATAAATTATTTGGGCCCTTAATAACTAGAGGTTACATGATAAATATTTTAACCTAATTTAAATGTTCTGCAGCTATTGACATTCACAGATTTTCTTTGTAACTGCTGGTGAACTTCCCCCAAAATAATTAATTTTAATATTTTGGTGTGAAACTAACTGGGGAGTGTTAATTTTGCAGAAAAATTAAATTTCAGAGCAGTGGTTATAAATGCTGTGCATACAAATCCGAGGCACCGGAGGCCAAGACTCAGGATGGTTTGTAACGCTTGACATTTGGGAAGTGAGTTGGGAGCATTTTCCACAGGATATTGTGTATGTTGTGGGGGCGTTGAGCTGACTGCTAAAAGGAAGGCTTAACTGGCAGGATGGGACAAGGTCGTCTCTCGTGAGAGCCCACCTGGAATTCTGCGCACTGTTCTGCATAGGAGGGACATGGAATTCTTGGAGCAGGTCCAGAGGAGGTCATGAAGATGCTGAGGGGACTTGAGCACCTTCCCTCTGGAGCCAGGCTGGGAGAGCTGGGGCTGCTCAGCCTGGAGAAGGGAAGGGTGTGTGGAGACCTCACAGCTCCTTCCAGGGCCTGAAGGGATACAGGAAACTAGATTGGGACAAATCATCAGGAACTGGAGTGCCAGAACAATGAGGAATTGGTTCAGACTGACAGAAGGAAAATTTAGGTTACATTTAGGGAAGGAATTCTTCACTTTGAAGGTGGTGACACCCTGTCGGAGGGTGTCCAGGGAAGCTGTGTCTGCCCCTGGATCCCTGGAAGTGTCCAAGCCAGGTTGGACTTTGGGGCTTGGAGCAGCCTGGGTTGGTAGAAAGTGTCCCTGCCCATGGCATAGAGTGGAATTTTGTATCTTTAGGATCCCTTCCAGCCCAAACCATTCTGGGATCCTGTGATTCCATGAAAAGATGCACATTGAGAGCTGTCTGCTTCTCTCAGTGCCACCTTTGTGTCGTAGCTGTAGTCTTCACATCCTTGTGCTGCAATTCAGTTTCTGTTGCAGAGCAACTCCAGGTACAAACACCCTTTTTTCCTGGAGAGCTTTATGTAACTGTGCTTTTTTCTCCCCATCATCACCTTGATGTGTTGCTTTCACTGCAGAAAATTTATTCTGAGTCTGGTTGTTATTTCTGTGCTTTCATTTGTTCGAGGTGAGATTGGGAGATGATTGCTCAATGAAGAAAAAGCTCATCTTGTTAAGTAGATAGCTGGATGTGACGGGTCTCATTGTCAATTTAAATCATTGTGCATTGCAAGTGCTTCTTCTGGCATTGTCTGATACAGCTGCAGTGTCAGAGGCAGTTTTTCATTACAGATAATAAGGTTCAGACTCTTTAAACATCACTCATAACATAAAATACCACAAAGCCGAGGTAGAAAACAGCATTTTCAGTGTCGCAGTGCTTGCAAAAATACATAAGAATGTGGATTCCCTATAAATTCCTCCCTGAGCTGTTTAATGTCGTTGCAGGCACTATCCTGGTTGACAACATGCTGATCAAAGGGACAGCAGGAGGGCCTGACCCCACCATCGAGCTCTCCCTGAAGGACAATGTGGATTACTGGGTGATCCTGGACCCCATCAAGCAGACCTTGTACCTGAACAGCACCGGCCGCGTGCTGGACAGAGATGTAAGTTCAGGATTGGTTTTCTCCACAAAGACATTCATTTCTAAGTAACCATACACAGAAGTCCTGCTAGAATATAATTCCTGCAACTGTCTTGTCCCCAGATGGATGTGAACAGAGGTCATCTGATCCTTATTTTAGGATTTTTTGGGAGCACACAGGAACTTCACTGTGTGTGCAAGAAATATTGTGGACAGACACAACAACAAAGACCAAAAAAACTCATGTTAGGGCTTTATATCCAACCAAACTTGACTCATTTGTTGAATTAAATTTTGATTCTGTTTTGCTGACTGGAAGAAGTGCTGCTTACCCCGTGCCCTTTGGCATTTATTAGCAGCCTGCTTTCCCTGTGTACACTGAATTATGAGCTGTGAGAGTTGAAGGAGTCGTGACTGACACAATTCACTCACAAAGCTTGACATGTTCCACTGAGAATGTGCTGGTTCAGATTCTTTTTTTAAGGCAGCCTAAAACATATTTGTTGTGCTTGTTCCTGATGGTGTTAAGGAAATATTGTCAGGATAAGTTTGATTTTTATAAAGAGAAACATGAAAAGCACAAAATAAATAGGAGTGTTCACATCTAGGCTAATTTCATTGAGGAGAAAACACTCTAAAAATAGAGACATTTCTTCACAGTGTTGCAGCCTTACAACAGAACCTGAAAGCAAAATTGACTTCCGAGTGCTTTAATAAATATGGCAATAATGCTGTAAAACTCAGGAGTTCTCCTTGGAGTGCAGGGAAGTTTGTTTTGTATTAGCTTGATTGATTAATTTGTCTTCTCCATGTGTTTTGAGATAAATTCATAAGTACCAAAAACAGCATGCAAATTTCTCCTCATTTCCATTTGCTGGTGAAAGGCACTAATTGAATTCAGCTGTTCTTAATTTTGTTTTAATTCACAAACTGTTTTTCCATGCAAAGCACAAAGTGTGGCAGAGTGGTCATGGTGGCAGAAGACTTTCTGGGAAAGAGTTGGCACTTCTTCAAGTGCCAGCCAGCAGCTGCTGGAGCAGCTTTGGCCTCTCAAGTTTAATTTTAAGTCAGAGACAAAAATGAGAGTCTGGAATGGAAGGCAAGGCTGGAGAACCACTCTAAGAAATGTGGGGTCTGTTCTTACCACCCCAAACCCTTCCACAGGGAGTTAGGAACCAAAATCCCTGTTGGGATTACATTACCAAGAATGGCAGTGTGTTTTCCAAATAAAATCAGATAAAGAGCAAATTTCAAACTTTTCTTCCAAAACTTTAAGTATGGAAAAATGACCAGTGATAAATCAGAACTGAAGGTGCAGGGAGCTGCTGCAATGTGCTGGGATTATTCGTCCCTGGTTTCATAAACAATTTGTGCCATTGTGCCAAAGTATATTTACTTATTTTTGTAAATTCAGAATATCAAATATTTATCAAATATCTGTAATTTCACATAATTATATTCTTCTTGGGCTTGGCTAATAAATCCAGATATACTTAGTAAGGACTGCAACGTATTAAAGGCAGCCTAAAAATTCTTGGATCTTACTCAAATGAGTAGTAAAAGGCATCACAGCCTAAATTCCTTTGTTCATCAATTTGGGAATTTTAGAACATTGCTGTGTTCACTGCAGTGAGAAAAACAGGATCGTCCACTCTGAAAGTTGTTTCTGAATTATTTGCAAATGTAAGTGGTAGAAAATGTGATTTATTTCAGATCTGACCTTTCAATTCAAGACAAGAAAGAAACAAGAAAGACTCTGGGGTGTGTCCAGAGGACACCACAGAGATGCTCCAAGGGCTGGAGCCCCTCTGCTCTGGGGCTGCTCACCTGGAGAGGAGAAGGCCCTTTCAGTGCCTAAAGGGAGAGCTGGAGAGGGACTGGGGACAAGGGATGGAGTGCCAGGACACAGGGAATGGCTTCCCAGTGCCAGAGGGCAGGGATAGATGGGATATTGGGAAGGAATTGTTCCCTGGGAGGGTGGGCAGGCCCTGGCACAGGGTGCCCAGAGCAGCTGTGGCTGCCCCTGGATCTCTGGAAGTGTCCAAGGCCAGGTTGGACTTAGGGGCTTGGAGCAGCCTGGGATAGTGGAAGGAGTCCCTGCCCGTGGCAGGGGGATGGAATGAGATGATCTCAAAGGTTCCTTCCTACCCAGGCCCTTCTGAGATCCAATGAATTCCAATAACAATAAAGGAAAGGCTCAAACAGGTGACATTTCCTGTGTCTCTTTCTCACAACCTCTTTCCCCTTGCAGCCGCCGGTGTCCATCCAGTCCATCGTGGTGCAGGTGCAGTGTGTGAACAAGAAGGTCGGCACCATCATCAACCACGAGGTTCGGATCGTGGTGCGGGACCGCAACGACAACTCCCCGCAGTTCCAGCAGCAGCGCTACTACGTGGCCGTCAACGAGGTCAGACCTGCCTGGTTTTCCTCCTTCTCCTTTGGGTGGGGTCACTGCTAAATTCCAGCTTTCAGCGCCTCTCCTTTGAAAGCCAAAACAATTTGGTTGTTTTCAAATCCCTGATATTTGTGCTACTCCAGAAAAGCTCATCACTTTGGTAGGCTTCAGTTTTTAGCATCTAATCCAGCTTTTCCTAAAGGAGTACAAAGACCAGCACATTTTTCACCAGGAATATTGCAGAAGACACCCAAATTTAAAGCAGTGTCTTCATGAATGGAGCATTATTTTCTGTTAATTTAAAGCACTGTTAACAACAAAACTGGAAGTAAAACAAATGTATGTATGAAGAAAAAGAAAGTTAAAAAACAGTTTAAAATGGTTTATTAATAATGTTGAAGGCTGGCAAAGTGTAGATGTGGTTTACTGTTGTTGCTCTGTATTAAATGATGCCTGTGAAATTAATTCTTTTAATTTCTACTATTTATTATTTTATGGTTTTTTGGAATAGAGAGCTGTGGATTGAACCATTGTGTCATTTGAAGGAAAAAAAAATTCTTCTTGAGGTGGTACAACTTCATTTCACTTTCCAGTGAAGTTTTTCATTCTGTTAGGGACTGAAAAATCTTCCAATAGGCAGTACAAAAACTCTGTATTTTCAGGGTTAGCATCTCAGGGCATTAGTAATGAATAGAAATAGGGACTTACATGAAGTAATGGAAATTATATGGGCTGAAATTATGTGTAATATTGAAAGATGTGTCAGTTTTGTACAGGTGAAGACTGAAAGAAGTAGAGTTAAATTTAAAAAATAAATTATATTAAATATGCAGACTTGTAGGGTTTGGTTTGTGGGTTGGAGGTCTGTGAGCATGACTGCTTTGAATATAATAGACTTGATTTGAAGAAATTTCCTATTTTGTCATGTTTGGGAGATTCAGCTTTTCAATGTGTTCTTGTGTTTTTTCTGGTCTCCATGACCAAGCATGTGCAGGACATGTGCTCTCTGCCCTGGGAAAAGGGTGGGACATCAATGAGTTGAGGCCTAATTAACCCAAAAGTGTGGAGAAAACCCCCCCCAAATCCACACATTATATTGGACTTGCAACTGAGATAAGGATAAACAAGGTTTTTCAAACTGGTTTTAAATTATAAGGCATTTTCTTTCAGACACATTTTTGGCACTCCAGCTGCCACTGGAATCTGGGAGCATCGGGAAAGTCCTCCATGGGCTTCTCTGTGCTTTTCACATTGGCCTTCAGCTGGCCATGGAATTTCTCTGTTTCTACAGACCCAGTGCAGGAACATTTCTAGTCCTCAGTAAACATCAACACGAGTCTCAAGTGCCTGTGTGGGTTGTGCTGCAGGGCCCAGATTACTTCCAAAACCTGCATCATTTTTGCAGTGAAAACAAAGACAGGGAGTATGGCTGTGCTAAGAAAATGAGGATTTTCCATAATTAGGGAGAAGTCCAAAGGCAAGAGTGCAAAATGCACCATTCCCAATTATTTGTGTTTAGAAACTGAGCAATGTTCTGAGGACACCAAACATTTATTGGAATTATTGCTGGGCAAAATGCACTGTTGCTCTTTCCACCAGCTGCACCCTGATTAAATTAATTTCTTCTTTTCATTTTATCTCTGTTTCATGGATAACATCTGACATGGCACGTGCCCTTGAGCAGCACCCAGTGAGTTCATGCTCTCATTAATTAATTAACAAAAAAATAATTCACAAAGCATCTCAGACTCTCTCAAAGGTTTTAATGAGTGATTAAATGTTTTAATGCTCATTTATTCTGCTCATAATTGGTGCTGCCTCTGGTGAATTTAGCAACAGGAATGCACTGGGAGGAAAGGTTTGTGGTTAATTTTCACTTCTGTTTTCAGGTTGCTTGTAAAACAAAAGGTACAGAAATTTCTCTTACATAAGGAACATGAAACAACTCAAAGAAAGAGTAGATTTTATTATATTTTGGAGAAATGGAGTGGGTTTTATGTCAAGTTGTCTTTATATTTGAACTGTCCCCAACATATTAAGATGAGTTTATCAGAGAGGCTAAGGATAGTTGTAAATAGCACCATAAATCCTGGTTTCACACGTGGTTTCCATTTCCACAGAAAAAGACATCATTTAAAATTAAGCCTGCATTTCTCCAGAAGACTTAGAATGAGATGGATGTGGAAGAGTACTGTCTGTTTAGTTTTATACCAAAAGGAGTCTTGATTTTTATACTTGATTGGGATCACTCTGTCCTGGGTTAGACTAAAAGCTCTCCTAATCCAGGATGGTTGTTTTACCAGTCCCCTGGCAGATGCTCAAGGAAAATCATGAGGACTGGGAAAAATGCAGTTGTGCTTCCCTAATAAGTTACGTATAAAATCCTGTGTGGAGCAGCTCCAAACCAATTTTGTCTTTCCCAGTTGCTTGTGGCCGTGGATATGGTGGTCCCTCCTTTCCTTCCTTCCGTACTCGAGGTGTTTTGTAGCCCTTTTTTCCAGCATGTTTTGGTTTTTTGCCATAATTCCTCACCCTACTGCTTCAAACATCTTCATCTGGACCCTCAGAACCCTGACACATCTCAAGATGTCTCAAGATAAAGAGTGTCTGTGGAATATTCTGCCTGTTGTCCAACAGTCCTTTGGAATTTAAGTGTTTTCTTCCATCATTCCCACACTTGTACCTATAGAAGACCCTTGGGTAAAGGTGATCCCAAATTAAAATGTGCAGAGAAATTAATGTGAGTGGTTTGAAAACTTATTTTTTGCAGCTAAGAATCAAAATCTTCATTACCTGTTTATTGAGCAATACTTTTTTGTCAGGATTTTAATTCTTCTGTATGGACTTGTCACATGAAGCTGGGCTTGTCCTTGTCCATGTTGATGGACATTTGCTGTATGAGGTGGCTTAACTGGAAATGGCAGTGCTGGAATTCACATTAAGTTACAAATAATAAGTTTTTTAAGTCTTAGTTGAAAACAGATTTTCTGTTTCCCCACCATTTTGGAGCCAGTTTTATTTTTTCCTTCCTGATGTTTTTACAAGTCCAAGTGTCTTAGCCAACTCAACTGCTCTCCAAAGCATTAGGAATCTACACATGGAAGTAAAAACAAGTGAAGGCTGATGTCACCATTTTTATGATAATGAGAAATCCTCTGCAGAGTAATTCCCTTGGTTTTTGCATGACATATTTTTATTTATATGAAAAAATCCCATTTTTTTCATTTAGGAAAAACTCCTGACAGTGGCATTAGCCTGGGACTAAATTTGACCATAATTGCTGGCTTGAAGATTTGAGTTATTACCATATTAAACCAGAGTTCTGCAGCTGAGTTAAAATTCAGAAGAATTATGCAGCCCAGTTAATATTCCACAGGCAAATCTATGGCATTGCCACAAGGGGTTTAAATTTATGGAGCCTAATACAGGGATTAGGAAGTAAAATTTTGTACAGCTGAGGCCCACTGGTGGTGTCTGTGTTTTGTGTTAAACACAACTTTTCTGTTCAGTTTTGTCTGAGCTAAATACAGCTCCAAATTTGCATTGGCTGGGTTTTATAAAACTGACTTTCTTTGCTCTTAGTTTTTCACTTTCCTGAGTCCAGAGCAAGTCAGGAGCATTTAACAGCAGATTCTGTTTGGAAGTGAAGTCCCTAGAACACTGTTGAAGTCAGTATTTATTAAATGCATGTAACCTTAGAGCTGCTTGTAAGCCAAAATTTGGGGGTTGGTTGTTTATTTAGTTTGGGTTTGGTTTTTTTTCTCCTTTAATTTAAATAGCAGAGATGAGAATCCTTTGCAAAAGAAGAGCCTTTCTTGAACTTCAGTCATCTCAAAACTTTGGGTTTGGGCTATTGAGAATTAGAACTTGTGCTGAATTTTCATTTCTTGTGGTATAATTATTCCCATCTTTTTCCTCATGGTATTGAAATAATTAATCTCTGCAGGTAGACATCATCAAAAGAGCATTAGCTTGGAATGATTAACTGTAAATCTGGCTTTGCTCTGCTCTTTGGGGCCACTCTGAAAAATTATTCATTTTTAACTTCGTAAATAGCCAATAATAAGGAAATTTATTTTCCAAATGTTTTATGGAAGAGCTGAACGTTCCTGCCTGCATCTCGACTTCTAATAGCGTTCTTAATCGCACAAAAGGAAGTTTTTAAGCATTACAGCTGTAGAATGTGGAAGAAGATTTATTGTGTCCATTTCCTCTCTATTTGTTTAATTGCATTCTTTTTGGAATCTTCCTTGTTTCATGTCATCGTGATTCTTTTCCACTGGATTGAGTTCCCATGGAGATGATTATCCTCAGGCTGTCGCTGACACTCCTAGAATTTTTTCTTTGCAATCTCTAACATTTTGTTTTGCATAAGGTAAAATATTCAGCATGGTTAAACCTTTAGATGCACAACTTCAGGCCCTTTCCCTATGATATACCAAAGGTTCCTATGGAGAAACAAAATTCTACTCTTTCAGTGAAGGAATTTTTCCCACTATCCAGCCTGAGCCTCCCCTGGCACAGCTTGAGGCCGTCTCCCCTTGTCCTGTCCCTGTTCCCTGGCAGCAGAGCCCGACCCACTATGGCTGTCCCCTCCTGTCAGGGAGTTGTGCAGAGCCAGAAGGTTCCCCTGAGCCTCCTTTGCTCCAGGCTGAAGTTGCATTTTATTAAGGGAACTGAGTTCCTCCTTGTTGTTCCAACAAGGAAGTGGCAGCATGTTACATGTGGTCATGGGTTGGAGACAGAAATCACAACTCGAGTCCTTTGATCATCAAACAGCTCTTGTTTAATATGGCTGCCCTCTTTTATAGGGCTTTTGAATCTCCCAGGCTTAGATAACTCATTGACTGGAATCTCTCTGTGCCCAGATCTCTTGCCAGTGGTTGCTTGCAGCTAAGCTCAAATGGGGTTGGCTGAGGGTCCCGTTTAACTTATCCAGGGACTTGTTCTGGCATGAACCAGGCTAGCCAAATTGTATTTGTGTTATGCCCAGATTTACCATGTCCAGTACAGATCAGCTGTACTGTGACAATATTGTGACAACAGCAGTCTCTCAGAAATCCCTCACAAATTGTGGGGAAATGTATTGTGGCTGGCTAATATCAGTAAAAATCAGCACAATGCTGAGACCTTGGTGTAAAAAGTTTGTGAGGCTTGGAGTGCTGAGGGCCTCTCCCAGATGATTGGAAGTGGATTTGAAGTATTGAGTTAAGAGCTCATCTAAATTTTTCTAAAGCCTTCAGGAATCTCTAATGTAAGAACTTGAGTGGGCTGGAAATCACAGAATCATGGAATATCCTGAGCTGGGAGGGACCCATCAGGATCATCCAGTCTGACTCCTGGCCCTGCACACACTCCAACAGTCCCATCCTGTGCATACCTGAGAGCATTTTCCAGATGCTGCTGGAGCTCTGTCATGAAGGAGTGGAGAGGATTTTTTTCCCAGTCTTCTTTTCTAGTGTCATTTGTGTTGTATGAAAGAAAACTTAGATAAAATGGAAATGTGCATGTCCTGAAGGTCTGCACATCTGCAGTCAGTTATTCTGTGTGTAATACATCAAATGCAAGACTTTAGCTTTGACTTTTACTGTTAGAGCATGGAATTGGAGTTCTGGTGTTTACTGATGTGTCATTTTTGCAACTGCCTCCTTTGTTATAATTTAATAATGTGGTTTACGGTGCTGGAGCCTTTTTATGCTAGCCACTATTTATCTGCACTGTCAGAATGGGCTGGTGAGAGCTGTGACAGCAACTTCAGGATGTCCGTCATCTCCTGGGCTGCTTGGAAATGACAGCATTTTTACAATATTTAATGGTGTTAAATATAAGTAATTTTTAAAATTTTTTTTTAATTTTTTTTTTTAATATGGAACATCATCTGCAGTACAGTGTCAGCTCTGGGATTCCCAACACAAGAAATCTGTTGGAATGGGTCCAGAGGAGGCCATGGAGGGGCTGGAGCCCCTCTGCTCTGGAGGCAGGCTGGGAGAGCTGGGGGTGCTCACCTGGAGAAGAGAAGGCTCCAGGGACACCTCAGAGCCCTTTCCAGGGCCTAAAGGGGCTCCAGGAGAGCTGGAGAGGGACTGGGGACAAGGGATGGAGGGACAGGACACAGGGAATGGCTTCCCACTGCCAGAGGGCAGGAATAGATGGGTTATAGGAAGGAATTGTTCCCTGGGAGGGTGGGCAGGCCCTGGCACAGGGTGCCCAGAGCAGCTGTGGCTGCCCCTGGATCCCTGGAAGTGTCCAAGGCCAGGTTGGACTTCGGGGCTTGGAGCAGCCTGGGATAGTGAAAGGTGTTCCTGCCCATGGAATGGATGGAGATTTGATGATCTTTAATGTGTCTTCCAACTGAAACCAGTATGGCATTTTACATGTCTGATGTCTCCAGAGCTGCTCCCCTCAGATCCATCTGGGAGCACCAGCACTTTGTTTGGACATCTGAAACCTGGGAGATTTCCATCACGTGCCACCCCATGACCAGCCAGCACAGTGCCTGGCTCTTTCCACTAATGGCACCATTGTTTAAAAAGGAATAACTGGTTAAACTCTCTTATTTTGAGTTCCAGGGTGTCAGTGCCCAGGCAGGTCCTGAGGAGTCTCTGTGAGGACAGGTGGGAGCAGCTGTGGGCAGAGGGATCCATCCACCAGCTCCAGCACTGGGCACATCCCAGCCCTTAGCCAGCCACACGGTGCCTCAGGAAATTCGGGTTAAGAGAGGGGAAAAGTGGGTTAAGAGAGGGGAAAATGCCATGTGGCAGCGAGGAGAAAATGGTGAGGAGGAGTTGGGAGTTAAGGAGTGATACTGAGCCTAGGCTAGAGGGCTGGGACAGGGGACAGTGCTGCTTTGTGTCCCTCCGTCCCCATCCCTGTGTATTTTCTACTGGCAGGATGTTAAATCAATGTTCCCCACGGCCTCTGTCCTGCCTGGTAGTGCAGGACAGAGGCCACCCAGGAAGTGGGTGCCTGGTCTCCCTCTTTTCCCTCAAGAACATTGGATTATCCTCTCCTGAGCTGCTGGGGAGGCAGCAAGGGGGTGCCTGAGTGGATGTCAAGGAGCAGCCCATCCCAAGTGGTGGGAAAACCCTCTGGAAACCATCCTGGAACTATTCCCAGCTGGTTTTCAGGTTACTTTGGTATTTTGTCCTCTTCTCCCCCGCACATCCCAACCCATGAGGGCACAGTCAACTTCCTACACCCACGTATGACACTTCTGCTGCCTGTTCCAGGAGTAAATAAGCCAAGTTAGTAGCAAAACATGAACATAAATAGTTGTGGTGTAAGTGTGTATAGTGGTGGTATTATAAATTAAACCCCACTTGTTTTACCATAAAAAGGCTTCAAATTGGTGGGTTTTATTTTAAAGACTCCGTATTCTCAGCCCTGAAAATGTTTCCCAGAGAACACTGCCAACCATTACACCCTTAATTAGCAGCTTTATAAATAAAACGGGAACTATGAGTGCAGGAGGAAATGGGGAGTTGAGTCTTTGCTTTATTGTGAGCACTACAAAATAGGAATGTGAAATAACATCCCCAACTGCACCAAATGCTGGAATGACCTTTGTCCCCTTTTCCCAAAATTTTAAACCTTTTTAGGCCCTCTAGGTTCCAATATGTACAGCAACTTCATGTAAGTTCTGGAGGAAAGAAGAGGGGCCAGTGGGACTGGGAATTTAAGGGCCACAAATCTTGGGGCAATGAGGGCACCAGGGAGCAAGGGTTGTGCTGAATCCACAAGTGTTTGTTCATTTGTTTTTCACTTTCAGGTTGATTACTTTCAAAGTTTCCTGAATATTTAAATTCAGAAACGATGAGTCACGAGAAATCTTCTGTCTTTGCTCTCAATGGGCCTTGATTTTGTGCTATTTATCGGCGCAAGGATAATTATAAATTGATTCATTTTCAAAACATCATTTAATGGGTATTCAATTGCTGCCAACAAAATATTAGAGCAACAGCATCACTCCTGTGTTTGCTCAAAGCCATGAAGCTCTATGGGTGTTTGTGTTTGCATGTAACAATATTAATCTGGCTCTGTTCACGTTGATCTGAAGATGCTGTCAAATAAGTTCTGTTTACATTTGCAGCTCATCCTTGTTTTCCTTCCTGAGTCTGAAAAGGGAGCTTTTATTTCATTTAATCTATATTTATTGCATGGGTTCTTTCAAGTTTAAAGAGTGTTTTTCTCATTTTTTGTCTTTTTTTTGAAAAAAGGTGAAGTTCTGTCTTGATACATTATCGACCAGAACTAGGGAGAAGAATAAGGTTAAAATTAACTTTAAAACCTTAAGGTTTTAATGGGGATCTCTTGCTGTTTTTGCAGTTAACTCCAGTTGGAACAACCATCTTCACAGGATTTTCTGGAAACAATGGTGCTATTGACATTGATGATGGTCCCAATGGCCAGATAGAATATGTCATCCAGTATAATCCTAATGACAAGGTACAGCCACTCAGGCTTTTTCCCTATTTTTATTTATTCATATTTGTATTTGTATTTTTATTTGTATAACATGAAGTACCAAATGAACAAGAGGCTGCTGTTGGGCATAAAGAAATGCTTTTCTTCATGTCAGGTATCCTGTCTGCCTATGAGGAATGCTTGGTCAGCACAGCTGGATTATTTCACTTTCGATAATGCCCAGAGAAGTTGTATCTATCCCATCCCTGGAAGTGCCCAAGGCCAGGCTGGACTTTGGGGCTTGGAGCAGCCTGGGATAGTGGAAGGTGCCCCTGCCCATGGCAGGGGGTAGAACTGGATGGGCTTTAAGATCTCTTCCAACCCAAACCATTCTGGGATTCCATGGTTTCTGTTTTGCCTCCAGTATTAATCTCCTAATTAATTTTTTCCCTCTGTGTGGGAATGATGAATATTTTATCCCAAAAAATGAGTGCCAAACTCAGACTGTCTCCAGTTATTTATGAGTCTGGGACACACTTCCCAATCTTGTTTTCCTGCCCACCACAGATACCTGCAGCATGGGAAATTTAACACTCATTCTCATTTATTTGCTAAAAAACGAACTGCAATTTTAGCAGTTATTTAAGCTCTTAGAGGAAAAAGGCCTTGTTATGTGATGTAAAGAAACAACATTCCTGTGTGCCTCTGCTGTGTTTAGAATCCTGTATTGCTGTTGCCTGTTCAAAATACTTAAATATTAACTATCTTAGGCACTGGGAGATTGAAGCATGGAAAGATGTCTTTTTTTAAAAATTAGATTAATTTGATAATGAAATTGCAATTGGATCTCAGGTCAGAAATTTGTCCCCTCCTGCCAGTTGTTGCCCAGCTTTGTCACCTGAGTCTGTGGAAGCAAATACAAGGAACAAATGGCATTTCACCTGATTTAGCATCTGCACTTACCCTGAAATGTGAATTTCCTTGGACAGGAACATATGCATGAGCTGGCACCTAAAGGTTAACGTTCTCTGCTTGTTTAGCACTTCATTGCCCTCATGAAAGGCAGAATAAAGAGCAGATAAGTACAATGATGTGGATTTCTTATCTCTACCGCTTGAGCATTTGTTCTGAATGCACCACTGCAAATTCAATATGGCAAAGGGGAAAGAAGCAGACTCATCAGACTTCTGTGCAACAGATAGGTAAAGAATCCAGGAGAATTCTGTTCTGTACAGATTCATTATTGTGGGGTTCTTCAGGAGGAAATTGGGTGGGAAGAAAACATAGAAGGCTTTATAAACTCTGATCTGAAGAGCAGATGCAGCCTTGGAATACCAACCAAGGGCTCATCCTGTTGCAGCCCAGCTACAACACATCTTAACTTTGAGGTGTGTTCAATTTTATTGTGTTGTTTTCTTTATTTGCAGACTTCCAACAGGACCTTTGATATTCCTCTCACTTTGTCCGGAGCAGTAGTTCTGAGGGAAAGACTAAATTATGAAGAAAAGACTCGTTACTTTGTCATTGTTCAAGCCAATGTGAGTATAAATCTCTTGAAGGCCATTTATGCCCCTGATTTAGGTGCGGGTTTAGTTTCATTCCCAAGGAAAGGCACAGCCTTGCTGATATACCAGCTCTGATAAATCCTCTTCTGCTGAAGATCTAATTTAAGATTTATCCTGTCGAAAGCACAGACATATTATTACTGCTTAAAAAAGCTTGCTCAGTGTGTGACAAGCCAACCTTTTTGGCACAAGAAGCAACTTGCAAATGTGCAGTGCAGCCCGTGCAGAAAAGTGCAGGCTCATGGCACTAAATATCCCATTTTCCAACAAATCTGGTGAGGCTAATTTTCACTCAGATGAGTCTAATGGACACAATTTCATTGTATTCTTCAGGTTGGAAATACATTTTATTATAAAGAGGTGATTTTTCCTTCAAGTCATACTGCAAGTGTGCTGAGAGGTTTTTCCAGGGTGGCTGGCAGTGGATAACTTGCACTGAGAAGAAAAGTGATGTATAAACTGTATCTCATATATCTGTCATCAGAGTGGATTTTTGGTGCCCTTGAGAGCTGTGAAAGCTTTTTTCCCTTTTTGTCCTTCTGATAACAACTGAAATGAAAACTTCTCCTCTGTTGTTCACAGCTGTTGTGATACATCTTTGTTCATGGGAAATGATATTTGCTCTGAAGCAACAGGAGATCCTGAATCCACACTTTTACATTCCTGTCATCTCTCTGACACAGAAGTGTAGATACATTTTGCAATATTTTTTCTTACCTATTTTGTGGCATTTTTATCATTCTGCCAGCAGAAACCAGGCTCCAGGGGTGACTCAATGCTCCATGTACTTCTGCCCTGCTCAGGTGAGACCCCACCTGCAGAGCTGCCCCAGCCCTGGGGCCCCGCACAGGGAGGACCTGGAGCTGCTGGAGAGAGTCCAGGGGAGGCACCAGGATGATCAGAGGGATGGAGCAGCTCTGCTGGGAGGAAAGGCTGGGACAGCTGGGATTGTTCAGCCTGGAGAGAAAAAGCTTTGGAGTGACCCAATTATGGCCTTCCAGGACCATAAGGAGCTGGAAAGAAAGATGGAGAGAGAATTTTCCAAGGGATAGAGTGCCAGGAAAGTGGGGAATGGCTTCAAACTGCCAGAAAGCAGGGTTAGATGGGATATTGGGAAGGATTTGTTCCCTGTGAGGATGTGGAGGACCTGGCACAGGGTGCCCAGAGCAGCTGTGTCTGCCTGGATCCCTGGAAGTGTCCAAAGGACAGGACTGAGGGCCCCTCTCAGCTGGGGCTCCTCTCCAGGCTGAGCAGCCCCAGCTCCCTCAGCCTTTCCTGGGCACCGAGATGCTCCAGGCCCTTCCTCAGCTGCGCAGCCTCCGCTGGCCCCGCTCCAGGAGCTCCCTGGCCCTGCTGTGCTGAGGAGCCAGAGCTGGACACAGCACTCCAGAGCTGCCTCCAGGGCTGCCCACAGGGGCAGGATCCCTCCCTGCCCTGCTGGGAATGCTCCTCCTGCTGCCTATTCAGCTCCTATTGCTGGGAAAAGCCATAAAGCTCAACCCATCCCTGGAAGTGTCCAAGGCCAGGCTGGACACTGGGGCTTGGGGCACCCTGGGAAGTAGAAGGTGTCACTGCCCATGGCAGGGGTGGCACTGGATGGGCTTTAAGGTCCTTCCCAAATCAAACCATTCTGGGATTCTATAATCCCACAGGCTGCATTTCATTCTCTCTGGTGTGTACTCTGCAATTGCATTCCTCTGATTACACTATCAGTGCCTTGTTGTCCTTGCATCCTGAAGATACCAAAGGAAATTAATTACTCTCTATCTGCTTTGATCCAGAATTACTCAGAGGCAGTTATTGGAGGAATTGAGAAATGGTTTAGTTGATGATGAAAGCTGCTCCTTGAAGCTGGAATTGTTTTTCATAATTGACCATGAAGAAAGCTGAATGCAGAAATTCCCATATTTGCTCTAAATGTGAAGCTGGTGCAAGAACTGAGTGGACTGCAAAACAGGAAAAAAAATATGCAACCAATCCAATTTAGAGCAATGGCCTCTTCATCTTACATAGATGATGTTATTAAACAGCATGAATTAAAAAAGAAATTTAATTTTTTTTTTCTTTCAGTGTTACATTAGGCTAGGAGGGCAAGATGTAATTCATGGCACATAGTCCCCCCCCCAAGATTTTAGCTCTGCAAAGGAAATCTTGTGCAGCAATTCCTCTGTGAAAATGGGAATATTTTTGATTATTTTAAACAAAATATTAGCTAGTCATGATGTTCCTTCACTAAAGGAAGAAAGAAGACTTGAGCTGTTGCTAATGTGTACTTTGGGTACAACCACAATGATTTCTGATTATAAATAAAACACAGGGCCTTTTTATCTTCTACAAACGTGCTCCATTATTATAGTTTTAGTCCCATGGTTTTCCCAAGCTGCATTATTTCTGAGTGATAGATGTCTTGCAATATTTCTTCACTTTTTATCTTAATTTTACTTGTGAGCCTTTCAGCCTGCACCTCTGGGGCTGAAGTTCCTGTAATTACTCCTAGAACATGGATAATTCTGATCCTTATATGTTTTATCCTTAGCCTTGCTTAAAACCTTTGGGGTGGTTCTTTTTAAGAGATTCCTAGGAGATTTTTTGCAGGAGATTCTGAGTTCAGGAAGTCTCACCAAGTGGACCTGGTTTGCTCCACAGGACCGAGCCCAAAACCTGAACGAGCGAAGGACGAGCACGACCACCCTGACTGTGGATGTGCTCGATGGGGACGATTTGGGACCAATGTTCCTCCCCTGTGTGCTGGTGAACAACACCCGGGACTGCAGACCCCTCACCTACCAAGCCAGCCTGCCAGAGCTGACAGATCCTGTAAGTCCTCTGGGATTTTTCCAGGTTTTATCTGTTTGCCTGTCATCTTTTCCTGTGGGCACAGCTGGGAGCTGTAGCTAAAAGGTCACCTGTGCTTGATGCTGCGTTTTGTGTACCAAGAAAGAGGAAACAAAGGTAAGAGGCATGTGGGAATGATGGTGAAATTCCAGCTTTGATCCAGTGGCAAAATGCCTGTTGGCTTACAAGGACTGAGTTGTGCAGAAAGCTGGTAAATTTTGGAATTGCTTTTCCTGATATGTCCGTGTTTAGCTCTCAAAATAACCCCAAGAAGCACTTTCGGGAGGGCACTTGACTTAATTCTATGGAGGGTTGTTATAAACCATAGGAGAAAGATTTTTGGGAAGAGGAAGCATTAGTCACTGACCCCTGGAAGTATTTTAGTTGCTGTTACCAGGTTTTTATCAAGAGACACTGAAGAGCAATTATCCCATGTAGGTCCTTGTGCTAAGTCTGTCAGTTAATACATCCTGGGGTCAGGATAAATGTGAGTGTAAGGCTCATTTTACACTACATGCACACATGAATCCAAAAATGAGGTGAGAACTTCATCACTTCTTGTTGCAATTTGGTGCCAATTGCCATTCCTTACAGCAGAGCTGCGGCTAGGAGATCTCTGGTGGAAGGAACAGAAACAGGGACTGCTGAAGTAATATTGATATGTGACTTTTGATTCATATATTTAAGAATTTAAAAAGGCAGAACCAATTGAATCACCAGGTATTGCCCCACTTGATTAACTCTGACATTAAGATGACATTAAAATAATGTTAAGCTTTGACATTAAAGTTTTTAACTTTGGTTGCTCATTACAGCACACACTCTGTGTCCTGCTGCCTCCAGCCAAGGGCAGGTTGAGGTTGGAAGTGTGGAGATTCCTGCTTTACCCTGCCTTATCTCCTTTTCTGTCCTGTGCCTCGCAGTCTTTTCCCATCCCACACATTTTGGTGTCTTGTTTGGTGTGGCCTCAGGACTCCTGCTGCAATTATCCTTGGGATGGGTCAAGGGAAAGGAGAGATGATCCATATTTAACCTTGGAGTACTGATTTCCACATCTTCTGCACACACACTTCTACACCTTGGTGTACTTTAAAAACCCTTTGTAGCTGTGTTGTGTTTGGGACTTGGTGAAGAGCTGTTTTGACTTTAAATTCTACTGTAATTTGCTTTGGGCTTGGTGGGATTTCAAGGAAAGGGGCAGCTCCCTGTCCAGCTGAGTGTGGGACCTCCTCAGGGTGAGCACCCAAACTGTGACCCTATTTCACCTGCATAGGTCTGTTATAATTCCTAGTGTGGGAGCAGATGAGGCAGGAATTATAAATAACTGGTGGTTTTTATGTTTTTTTTAATCTGGTTATCTGAAGGTGTAACACAAACCAGACAGTTTTTGACATGCTACCTCTCAGTCAGAGGATTCCAGCTCTGGTTCTGCTTCTGCCCTTCTCCAGGGCACATTCTCCACTGGAAGGCAAAGCAGTGTCTGCCAGGAAGAGGGGCTCAGCCAGGAAAAATCCTACCTGGGATTTAGGTACTGAGCTGCAAAACTCATTTATTTAAACTTCCTGAGCTGCAGCATGCTCAGGGACAGCCGATTTTGTTTGCTTTTTAGCTTTTCTTGTGTCAAACTGCCCCTGATCTATGAAATGAGATCTGGGTTCTGTTGATGAGCCCTGAACTCTTCGCTATTTATCTCTTTGCAGCACTTCAGATAGACCTAAGTGGAGGAAGTTATACCTTGAATATCAAATATTTACTTGGCTTTTAAGCAATAACTCCTTTGGAAGATATAGATGATATGTGGATTTGGCTAGAAAACATTTATATTACATTTATCCTTTACATTTTTATGTATTATATTTATTCTTTACTGACCGACTCCATAGCTACCATTGCCCTACTCCCTAGGCTAAAGGACTATTTTTAGTTTAACACCATTTTTTTTTTATTTTATTTTTAATTTGCTTTTTAATTTTTCAATGAAGATGAGATGGAATATTAATGAATGAGGAACAAAGTTGAAGTATGAATTATTCAGAGGCAGTAGCTGGAAAGAAAAGTCCTGCTTTACTGGGCAAGATGTCCACTCAGATGACCCCTAAAATAAAACATTTAATGTCACTGGTAAAAGCAATATTTTTGTCCAGAATAGTTGGAATCTATCCGTGAATTTACTGAGGTAAAAAGTTGGGAGTTAATTGCTTGCTATTAGCTGAATTTCAGTTTCCAAGAAAACCTGTGTTGATTGTTGATTAGGTTTGGGGATTTTTGTTGTAATTGTTACATTGCTTTATATTTATATTCTATTTTCTAATATATTTATATATTAGAAATATATTATATATATATTGTAAATATAATATAATATAATATAATATAATATAATATAATTATATTTTTTGTATGTTTCTGTGTCTGACCAGCTCTGGCAATTAATTTTTTTCCCCTCTTGTATCAGGAAGAATTGAATAAATTAGCATTTATTATCAGGACGTGCAAATCATCATGTGGAGTTAAAAAGAAGTACAACCTCATGAATATCTCATAACATGGGCAAGATAATTTCTTCTCCCTTTTTCCCATTTCAGTCCATTCCTGTCACACTCATGCTGTGAAGATTTCCTTCGCTTCTATACTCGGTATTTTCCATTATCATGCAAAGAAGAAAAGCCTGTTAAGTAGAAAAATATAGATTAGAGTTATTTAATTAATTGCTGGACTAGATTTGCAACCATGGGATTTATTATGGGGCTCCATGGGGTAACTCTGAGCCCACATGGGGACTGAGATACTCCATGACAACAAGGATTTTGTGCTAAGTACAGATTCGACCTCACTCTTCTGCAAGTTCCTTGTTCTTTCACCTCTGATGGATCCTCCTGCATGGGAAGGGTTTAGGTTTGTGCTGCTTATCTCCATTGTGTCAGCAGGGACCTCACAGGGTCTGTGAGCTCAGGTGCCCTCATGGAGCTGGGCCTGAGCACGGAGAGATGAAAGGCTAAAAAATAATAAATAAAACATTCTCAAACTACAGTGAGGTTGTGAGGAGTGAAAAAAGACACTGGAGAGCAGGAGGTGCCCCTGGAAGTCTTTATTAGTGAGCAAGACCTCTTCAGTTCCATCAGTTTGTATTCAGGGGGAGAAATCGGCATTTTTCTGAGGAGGTGGAGGTGGATCACTCCTGCTGAGTGATCTGGGGTTGGGAGCACAGGACACTTCCAGAGTGTCAAGAGTTAATCAGCTCTGGACTAATCAATTTTATGCTGATTATTGGTAATTAATTAGCACTGCAGAGAATGTGCTGGTTTTAGACTGATGATCTCAAAGGTCTTCTCCAACCTAGTTAATTCTGTGATTAATTCTGGTTTTGGGTACCTCTGGGTTTGAGGATGACAAGCACCTGACAGTTCCTTCCAACTGAATTACCTTGCAGTTCCTTCCTTTGGCCCCACAAATTCCAATTCCTCCCAAACCTTCTGGAATTTTCTCCCAGAGACACATTAATATAAAGCTTGCAGCAGCAGCACAAGTGAAAATTCTGGAAACAGCATCTCCCCATCTTGGTTATACTAATCAAAGAGAAAAGTTCATCAAAATGTTCTGGATTTCCTCTAGTGGTCATTAAATTAATTAATTAACTAATTAATTACCTTATTTTGCTGTGGGAAGTACCAGTACAAAAGACGTTTGATCCAGGGTTCTACCATGGAATGAACACCAAGTAACCACCCCTGAGGTGGGAGAGATTTGCTGGTTCACCTGGAGCTCCCACACAGCTGCCAAGGAATATTTTTGGGGCACTGAAAGACACAGCTTTCAGATTTTGTCCTGTTAGGCTGAGTTGAAGTGGATATGTGTGGTTAAATCCACTTTAATAGAAGCTTTCAGCAGATGGGGAATGGCTCTCTTACCTGTGTGAGTGGTAAAATCCCACAGAAGAACTGGGTTTTTTCTTGCTGACTTTTAAATCTGACTGCTTAAAGACAATTCACAGGGAGGGAATCACTCCTAATAGCAGTCAAACTGCATAAAATGAAAATCTCGCGTTCAGTTGACACATTTCCTTGTCATTTATTTTTGTGTTTGTTTGTTAGCTATGGGACATTTTAAACTGCAAATGTTCACAGTTAATTTAGGGAGTTGTTGGTCTCTGGAGCAGTTCAATCTCAGTCTACCTTTATTTTTACTAAGATTTACCTAAGATTTACCTTTTTTAATTCAAACATGATAAAAGAGCTTTGCCAGCCTTTGGCCTGTCTAGACTTATGAGCTGCATTTGTGATTCAGTGGCATCAAGCCTCAGGAAATTATTTGGGATTTAATTTGTTTCTAATTATTCCTTTCACAGCTGAACAGACTCTGTCCAGTTTTTGGGACTGCTGCTAAATGCTCTTGTTGGGGATGGTGTTTACACTTCCTGCTGGAATTAGCCCATGATTGACTACAGTTGTGTCTGCTGGCAAAACTAAATGTTCAAAGTCTGCCTTCCAGAGAAAACAGAGTTTTCATCATTAGGAGAATTGTTTCTCTTTATACAAATCATTTTGGACAAGAAAAAAGTGATTTTATATTTTCAATAGGCAGCATCCCACCCTGCTGTTAATTAGACTAAAATATTCGGTTCAAGATAATTAGTGCTGGGCTAAGATGAATGGGAGTTCCTGGGTACTTTAATTCCAAAAATTATTTGGTGGACAGGGCATTGGTGTCACTTCAGGAAATAACCAGAGAAATGTTTTCAAAACTGGCTGTGTCTCTACATTCTTATTCTTAAGTAAATTAGAAAAGAACTTCATGGCTGAGGCTCTGAACAGTCCCTCTACCACAGAAAGATGAGCAAATTGTCCCATTTTCCAGGGATTAATTTTTCAGTAGCAATTTAGGTAAATGCTGCGACTCAGATGAGTGGAGGGGAAATGCAGATTGACCTCCCTGACACCTCTGCAGTTGTCAGGGTGTTTTTTATGGAAGAAGGCAGAGTTGTA